TATTCCAAGGTGAATTCTTTAGAATGAACATTTGTCAAGTGATTCAAATGCCTGCAGAGGCCAGACAGGTTATACAAATGAGTGGTGTGTACTGGGGAAGGCTAGGGGTCATGGTGGCAACTGTGGGAAGCTGGAGAGGGCCATCAATTGTTAATATTCTGAAACAGATGCCCAGTAGAGCCAAGCCTTCCAATGTTCCAAGGAACACTGGATTTTTTAAAATATAATCTTTCTAGATTTGTAAAACATTGTACTAGCTTCAAGCACATTTGGTACACCAATGTTCACTTCCACACTACTCACAGTGGCAAAAAGGTGGAAACAATCCAAGTGTCCTTCAACAGGCAAATGGACAAACAAATGTGGTATATCCATACAGTAGAATGTCACTCAGCCATAAAGAGAAATGGCTCCTGATACATGCTATGACGTGGATGAAGTTTGAAAACATTATGCTGAGTGAAATCAGTTAGACACAAAAGGACAACCATTGTGTGATGCCAATTTATGAAATATATAAAGTAGGCAAATTCATGGAGACAGAAAGTAGATTAGTGGTTACTGGGGGCAGGTGGGATAAGGGGAAGGGGAGTTACTGCTTAAAGGGCACTGCATTTCTGTTAAGAGTGATGAGCAAATCTGGAAACAGTGGTGAAGGTTGCACAATATGGAGAATGTAATTAAATTAATGTAAAAATTGTTCAAATGGAAAATGTTGTTGTTGTTATGTGCCGTCAAGTCAGACCCTACTCATAGTGACCCTTCCTTGTATATATATATATATATATATTTCACCATAATAAAAATTAAAAATTAAAAAACAAAACAAACCCACACTGTTTCTAGTTGACTAACTAGACCATTTAACTAGACCATTTAAGGACCAGATGGGGCCTGTGGGTTGTCCGTTAGCCACCTGGCTACATCCACTACTAGATTCTCTACCTTATTCATCAAGAGGTCATTTTCCTGAAGTGAACAGGTGTCCCAATGGCATTGCTTCTTCAGAAAAAGCTACCAAAATTACTTGATATCACATACACACATAAAAATTCTCCATTAACTCTTGCAGTATTGATAATATTGAACCAAGGAAGTGAATTGAAGATCATTCCCCAGTCCTCCTTACAGAGAAGAGCCACCTGACTATAGACAGGACTCCTAGGTGCCATGAAGAAGATGCCTTAGCAGTTTTGACTTGTGGATAATTCCTTCCATATGGTTATTAATGAAAGTCATTTCTTTATTCAGCAAAATGACAGCTTCAACAGAGCAGATAAAATTGGGGGCAATAGTAGGGAGCAAATAATATTTGGTGTAACTCTGTGGATTCTAAAACCCAACACTGAAACATAGACTACAAAGGAGTAATCTTCAACACATCAGCATATTGTTTGTGTGTTTGGTCCAGTGTCCCAAGGGAGACAAATTGGATTTACATGTTGCTTTTAGTTTTAGAAATAAATACCTTTCCTTGGATGACATTAATGAAACTATTTATACAGTGCTTTTGCTGATGAACTGAACACAAGGTACACATGGTGAACTTGAATCCCTTGTGAGGGACAGGTTGCCCATGGTGAGGCCTGTGGGTCTGTGAGCGACAGGTAGCGTAAATCAGAATACAGGCTGCCTTTGTCCCATGCACACTTACGTAATTGTACTTTCATCTCCTTGAATGTGTGGGCGCTTAATAAATAAACAAGGGTAGGGAAATAGTGCCAGTCAAAGCCACCAAGAGAGATGACCTCACAAAAAAAAATTGAGGCAGAACCAGGGCAAAGTTGAGTCTGTGCCCAGGGTGCCGTTTCAGAATTCACTGATGTTTGTGGATTTACTGACTCGCCAGACAGACTGCAGCACCAGCCATGCTTCTGGTGATTTCTCTGTGACCGTTGAGTTGATGGATGTGCAGGAAAAAAAATCAATCTCTTCTTGTTTCCAGATTGCAGACGGGTGTCTCTGGGAGTAAGTGGCTGTGTATTTGATAGTCTATTGCACTCCTCAGACCTCTGGGCCACCAAGTGTTCTGAAGGAAAATGCATGTCCACTGTTAACAGTCCCCTGCTGGCTACCTTCACTCTATTTGATTCAAACCATTCTCCTAGCTGATGCCTGTGCCTTGCACTAGGGAAATGCTAAGTGCTTTCTCGTCACTGTGTCTTGCTGCAAGGACAGGCAGAAGTTTCTGCTGAAACAACCACAATAGTTAATATTTGTGGGACAGGTGTTCATGGGGTGTCCTGGTCTCTGCATGCATGACTCTGTTTCCTAAGCTTTCTGTAAATACATTTATTTGTTTTGTTTTACTGATTATCAAAGAATATTTGTACATATCTGTGGCCAACTTTCTGTAAATACAAAAAAGTGTTGAAGAAAGAAGGAGAAAAATCACTTGTAACAGTCACTTTCAATGATCACTGTTCATTTTGGTCTCATTTTCCTCTCTTCCTGTCTTCCTTGCCTCTTTCCTATCTCTTTCCCTCCCTCTCTCCCTCCCTTCTTCCTCCTTCTCTCCCTTCCTTTCCTCCTCCTTCCTCCTTCTGTTATTTCCTTCCTAGTATCAACATATCTCCCATCAGCAGGCATCAAGCTTTGCCATAGGACTACATGGCAGGATGAGGTGTGTTGGTGAGGTCTCCTTTCTTCTTTCCTCTCGTCTCAGTGGAGCAACTCCTCTCGTAAAATAAGCAGAGCCTCAGTCACCCTCTTATCAGCAATACAGTCCTTGGGCCAAACCAATAGGAGTCATGTGACGTTGTTGTTGTTGTTGTTGTTGTTATGTGCCGTCGAGTCGGCCCCGACTCATAGCGACCCCTCCTTGGGTTTCCGAGGCAGTATCACTACGGAAGTAGGATTGCCCAACCTTCCTTCCAAGGAGTGGCTGGTGGGTTTGAACCGCCAGCCTTCTAGTTAGCAGTCAAGTGCTTTAGCCACTATGCTACCAGAGCTCAAATTTCCTCCAAAATACTCAAATCCCAAAGACTTAGCCCCAGTAGCATGTGGGAGGGAGATACAGAACAATGACCTTTTTACAGAAAAACTACACATCAGTGAGAGAAGGCACCTGAAGGTGTATATGCCAGGAGACAAAACTCAGTGTCCTACTTTTCTCTGTAGCAATATACAATGAATTTTCATTAAGATAGAAGTATAAAGCCAAGAAAAGCTCTGAGCACCGTGGTGTCACTCAGAGACCACCGCCTTCCAGTGACTGTCTCTCCTGACACAGACCGCCCCAACACACACCAACTTCTTTTATTGTAAATTCATGCACATCTTGCTCACCATTCTTATTGTCCCTCAGGCTTTGTTCTTGTTTACCCAGCCTCCTCCCCTTCTCCATTTCCTTTCTTCTCCTTCTCACCACTCCCTCTTCCCTGGCCCCATTTATATTTCTTGGAGAGGTTGGCAGGAATCACCCAGGTCCCAGGGTGAGGACACACCCCAGGTGCTGAAGCACAGGCTTGACCTTAGGCCATGCTCCCTCCCCACACACACACCTCAAACAGACCCATCCGCCTACCTGACGGAAAAGTTCCTCATTTACCTTTCCTTCCTTGTCTTTTTTCAAGGCCATTGGAGAGTTCATTTTGGTGGACAGGGATGTGAAGATCAAAAAGAAAGGGAACATCTACAGTCTCAATGAAGGCTACGCCAAGGACTTTGATCCTGCCGTCACAGAGTATGTCCAAAGGAAGAAGTTCCCCCCAGTAAGTGAGGGGGCAGAGGCTTATTTTTGATTGGGGGCAGTTAAATGTCCAGGCAGCTGGCATCGGGCAACTCAGTGGAGATTGGGGGTAAGCGGTGACGGTCCATCCTGTGGCAAGAACAGGAGCCTCTAGACCACATTTGGGATAAGTTATGTAGACATCTGTTGGTACATGATTCCAGATTTGCCCTGTAGAAGAATGCCATAGTCTGGAAGTGGATTGGATTTCTCATTTGCACTGACCCCATGACCCTTAGGAACTGAGAACTGGAATCCCTACATGGAGAGGTCAAAACTGGAGTGTCTGTTCTGGCCATTGCCACTTGCTGCAGCAGAAGAAAATTAGGATGCTAAAGTCAACTAGACAGATGAGCTAGTGGCAAAAACATGTTCAGTTCTGGGGTCCATGAGCCCAGACGGTACAAAATGTGGTTCTCAAATCCAAAGCAACAGACACCTGCCTTGTGGTGTCTGCCCTTCTGGGTGATCATCCTGTGATGACATTCAGCCATCACCCCAAGGCTGAGTGTCCATCTTTGTATTTCTAAACTTGTCGCCATCAATTCATTGCGACCCACGTGTGTCTGGGTAGACTGTGCTCTGTAGCATTTTCAATGGCTGAGTTTTTGGAAGGAGATCGCTAGTCTTCCTTTCTGAGGTGCCTCTGTGTAGTCTTGAATCTCCATCGTTTTGGTTAGTGTGTTAATTATTTGCACCATGTAGAGATTTCATCCCCCTAAAGAGATTACAAATTACTGAATATGAAGAGAAGTGGCTCTCTGTATAGCCATTTTATGTGGGACTATGCAATTTTGTCATACTCTTGCTTAAATGGCATCAAAGGGTGCTTATTTTCTGAGATGAAGCCCAAGTGTGCCTAATATGGGATTCAGAACCCTCTAAAACTAGCCCTTGGCTCTCTCTTCAGCTAGATCTCCCCTTCCACTTTACCCTCAACCCCCACCCTACCTCAATCCACTCTAGTTTTCCCAAGTGACTTCCCCACACCCAGTGTGGAGAATATATGCTTCTCTACATAGCCAAGCCTTTGCTTGTACTGGTCCTTTTCATGAAATAAACATGCCTATCCCCACCCAAACCAGTTGCCATTGAGTCAGCTCTGCCTCATAATGGCCCATTGGTCAGCCCTGTGCTGCAGAGGGTTGTCAGTGGCTGAGTTTTCAGAAGTAGACCAGGCCTTTCTTCTGAGATACCTCTGGGTGGACGCCAACCTCCAGTTGTTGGGTAGCAGCTGAGCATGTTCATTGTTTGTACCACCCAGACAGGGACAGTCGTGGTTCAGTGGGAGAACTCTTGCCTCCCATGCAGGAGACCTGGGTTCGATTCCCAGCCAATGTACCTCATGTGCAGTCACCACTCAGCTGCCAGTGGAGGCTTGTGTGCTGTTACAGTGCTGAGCAGGTTTTAGTGGAGCTGCTAGAATAAGACAGACTACGGAAAAAGACCTGGCAACCTACTTCCAAATAATCAGCCAGTGAAAACTCTAAGGATCACAATGGTTCAATCCTGTTGTGCATGGGGTCTCGTTGACAACAGCTAACAACAACAGCAATGACAACGGACCCTACCCAGCTCCTTACCACAGCATAATCCTCCTCAACCTCCTAGCTTCTGCTAAATGACGGTTTTTGTGGTGCCTGCAGCAACCCCATAACCCGTATCAACCACCTGCTCCTTGGGACTTCTGGGGGTAATTTGACATTACTGTCAGATGTGTGAGGGGCCATCTTCAATATTCCATCTTCTGCTTCTTTCGAACAAGGTTTTTTATCACATATCTTAGCACAGCTTCAAATACATAGCTTCAAATACATAGGTGTTCAGCCAGTGGCTGTTGAATCAAATAAGCACAGTGAACTCAAAGAGAACTCCCTTTCTTTTCTGCAACCCTAATTGTTGTTGGTCTTAACCTTGCAGGATAATTCAGCCCCCTACGGTGCCCGGTATGTGGGTTCCATGGTGGCTGATGTTCACCGCACGCTGGTCTATGGAGGAATCTTTATGTACCCTGCTAACAAGAAGAGCCCAAAGGGAAAGGTAACTATGCACCCCTGAAAACTGGTTGCATAGCAGCAGATTTAATTTTCAGCCTGTGGAATTTGACTTAGGAAAAAAGAAAGGTTATGGTTGCTGTTGAACTCTATAGTACGTTGCTAACGATGCCTGTGGCACATTCTTTTCTAGATTAAAGGTTGTTCTTGCTAAAGGCATTTTTATAACTAAAAATGGCCTCTTGAGAACCCTTTCATTGCTCTGGCAAAAGATAATTAATGATGCTATGGTCAGGAAGGGGATGCAGTCCTTAGTGCTTCCAGTGGCTACATGGTTTGGTTTGAGTGAAATGAATTCCACTCATAAAATGAAATGAGATAGTCCAGTCTTATTGGCAAGACAGCAAATCAAATATGTACTCCAAACAGAGGTTTCCTTTGATTGCTTTAAAAGGTGCAAAATAGAATTAGCTAACAAGCTGACATTTGCTGTTTGGAAAATGACACCTTTCTAGGAAGGAAAGAATCTGTACTTTTAGGTAAACTGTAATCTCTGACTGCACTGGCCTAATAATACCCATGGTGCTTCCAGCCAACCATAACATGGGCTGTGCTTTCTTGTCATGGCTGAGAGATATCCTACTTCTCTTCTACACAGGGTGACAGCATGCTTGCTTCCAAAGTACTGCCCTCTTTATTTTTCTCAATGGACGGATTGTCTTCTTAAAATGAGAGAGACAGAATACGTCCAGAAAATCCCCTTACCAGCCCTGGTTGCTCCTCAGTTGACTCCACTCATAGTGACCCCATGTGTGTCAGAGTAGAACTGCTCCATGGAGTTATCAGTGGCTGGTTTTTCAGAAGTAGATTGCCAGCCCTTTCTTCTGAGGCACTTCTGGGTGAACTCAGACCTCTAGTCTTTTTGTTACCGAGCATGTTAACCTTTGCCACCACCTAGGGGGTCTAAATCCCCTTAAGATAGTTAGCGATACCACTCTTCCCATAGGATTCTAAGCCTATGTGCTTATCAGCTTTATAGTACTTTTCTCTAAGTCCTCAAAAAATTATTTTTTAACACAAATATCAAAGCTCCTCCTTTTTCAGTTTTGCAAATCTGGCCATCACACCTGTATGGAACCAGAGTCAGGAAACACCTGCAGAAAGCTGTCTACTCGGTAGGCAGACTGCATGGAAATGCATACGATCAAGAAGTTAATATTTAAAAGTAAATGCCAAGATGTATAATATACTAAATTCCAACCCTCAAGTCTTAGGAGATTTGTAAAAGGAATGTATACAGAGTAGCAAGCAGTATTATACTCTTTGGAGGAGCCAGTCTGCTTTCCAGATGTCTGCAGCCAGACACCACTGTGGATTTTTTTATGCATTTAGAACAGGCAGCACTCCATCCAAAACACACAGAATCACTCATTAAGTGCAGTTTCCGGACTATAAAGAGAAGGCAACCATTAGTTCTGCCTAAATGACATACAGTCACTGAGTCCAGGTGGTCGGTCTCACATTTGCATCAGGTAATCTCCTGCTGACTCTGACTTGATGAGTATTAGATTAACCCTTTGGTCGCAGATGCTGTGTTGAGGGGCACTTTTTATGACTTCACAGAAAGGGAGAATGTGAGCTACTTGGAAACTCCCATGAGCTCTGCACTATTTTGCTATGGAGCAAGTCCCCTCTCTGTAATTCCTACTGGGTTGTGGACGCTGCTCTCTGGTCTTGTTTTCCAGCTGAGACTACTGTACGAGTGTAATCCAATGGCCTACATCTTGGAGAAGGCAGGAGGCGTGGCTACCACCGGGAAAGAAGCTATATTGGACATTGTTCCCACTGATATCCACCAGAGGGCGCCGGTCATCTTGGGGTCCCCTGACGATGTGACTGAGTTCCTGGAGATATATAAGAAACATGCCGCCAAATGAAGCTCTAGCTTTGCCCTCGCTGAAAAGAATTTGCCTTTTATCTGGACCAAAGCTCACGCTACACTACCCCATCCTGACTGGGCATCATACCATCCCAGAGAGCAGAAATGAAAAGCATGGGTGGTGGTGTTTTTTTGTTTTGTTTTGTTTTGTTTTTTACCATGATGGTAAAATGCTATGTAACGCCTGGTGCTGCCTAATCAACATACCACCACAATAATGTCACTGATAGGCAAAATATATTTTGAGGGGATGGGAGAGAAATAAACATATTCTTTCTTTTTAAAAAATAATTTTATTGCTTTGTTTCAAATGATAACAATAATAATAACAAATGCATATAACATTACATATCTCATCTTCAAAACAACCTTATTAATTAGGCGCTATTATCATGGTGGGAGCCCTGGTAGCGTAGTGCCTAAGGCACTTGACTGCTAACCAGAAGTCTGGTGGTTCAAACCCACCAGCCACTCCTCAGAAGAAAGGTTGGGCAATCTACTTCTGTAGTGATACTGCCTTGGAAACCCAAGGATGGGTTGCTATGAGTCGAGTCTGACTCCACAGAACATAACAACAACAGCAGCATTATCATGGTGGGAGCTCTGGTGGCGTAGTGCCTTAGGCATTTGACTGCTAACCAGAAAGCTGGTGGTTCAAACCCACCATCCACTCCTCAGAAGGAAGACTGGGCAATCTACTTCTGTAGAGTTACTGCCTCAGAAACTCCAGAAGGGGTCGCTGAGTGTAATCGACTCGGCAGTGAGTTGTTTTTTTTTTTTTTTTTAAATCATGTCACAGTGGTTCAAGTATTCAGTTGCTAGTGAAAAATTGGTGGTTCGAACCCATGAACTGCTCCATGAGAGAACGATGAAGCAGTGTGCTTCCGTAAAGATTACAGCTTTGGAAATCCTGTGGGGCAGTTCTATTCTGTCCTAAAGAGTCACTATGAGTCAGATTCAACTCGATGGCAGAGGGTTTGGTTCTTTTTATTACATCCCATTTTATAGATGAGAAAATAGAGGGCAAAGAGATGAAGTATTCCACCCAATAAGTAAGTGTGGAAGCCGGGATCTGAACTGAGGCCGTCTGGCCTCTAAACTCCAGTTACTTCTCTCTTTTCCTATGTGCTGACCCATTGCAGGTCTGTGTCTGCAGAACTTACCTGAACAATGTCCTCTAAGAAATGGTCAAGTTAATAGGTGAATGTGTATGAATCTGGGGGTACACCTGGGCCTGGCCTCTTGGCTTTCCATGTTTTATTGTTGTTAGTTGCCGTCAAGTCAGTTCTGACACATAGCGACCCCATCTGGCTTCTCATAAGCGAGAACTGGCTGAATCACAAAGGAAAGTGTCCATTACTACTCAAAGGTGACTTATCTATGAAAACATAACGCTTTATTGACCCAACAAAACCTAATAAGTCCTCGGGCCTATATTATTACAAAGAAGAGGGTTCATTATAAGACAAAGATTTTTTGTTGTTGTTATTGTTGTTATGTTGTTATGAGTTGGACCCGACTCATACCGACCTCTCCTTGGGTTTCTGAGGCAGTATCACAATGGAAGTAGATTGCCCGATTTAAGAAGATGAAATTTGTTACAAGCAAGTATATTTCTCACTAAGGTCTCTCTATAAACAGTTTCTTCCTTAGCTAACCATGGTTCTTTCTGCACTAGGATACCAAGATTGTGCCAAGCCCTATCAGGTGTTAAGAAGAAATACCTGTAGTCTTTCTTGAGCTTCAGATTTTTAAAAGATACCTGTTCACTTGTGAGTTTAAAACAGATGTCTGTTTATATCCTGATTCTTCCTAAACTGAAAAAGCAAACCAAACCATTGTTGTTGAGACAACTCCAACTCATGGCAACTGTGTATGTTTCAGAGAAGAACAGGGTTCTCAGTGGCTTTGACCTTTCAGAAGCAGATCACCAGGACTTTCTTCTGAGGAACCTCTGGTGGACTCGAACCTCTAACCTTTCAGTTGATAGCTAGTGTGTTAACCATTTGTATTACCTAGGGACTCCTAATTCTAAACATTCCCCCACTAAGTCCACATTTTTCCAACAGGAATCTTAGTTTGCTCTTAAGCGTTAGATAGATCTATTTTTGTCCACTGACTGGACCCAAAGCCAACTCACAAAGCTTCTAATGATTTTTAACCTTGTAACTCAGTTGGTCTTTGGTTTTCCAAGCACTGAGGAGATAGGGTGTTTAGAAGTCATTTTCTATTAGTAAGAAAGCTGTGTGTGTGAGAAATGATACACTTCCCTCCCCCACTGGGTCCCAGGAGGAACCCAAGCAAAATAACAAAAGGACCCCTTTCTCTGCTTTTGTATCTTCTGTGCATTGAACTATCAGTTTTAACTGAGGGTTTTCCACTGATAGTTGTACTGTTGAAGTATCCCA